AAACTTAACAAAATGAAAGAGAATAAACACAACAAACACAACAAATCAAAAAAGCAATTTATGATCTGATGGAGAATTCAGCAAAGAGATAGATAGATATAAAAAAGAACTAAACAAAAATCTTGGAAAAAAGAATTCATTAAATGAAATACAAAATACAATTGACGGCTTGAGCAACAGGGTAGATCAAGCAGAAGAAAAAATTTTGGAACTTGAAGACACGTGTTTTGAAACAACCCAGTAGGACAAAAAAATAAATAAATAAAAACAAAAATAAAAAAGAATGAAGAAAGCCTGTGAGATCTATGGGACAACTCTAAGTGTACAAACGTCAGTGTTATGGGTATTCCAGAAGGAGAAAAGGCATCAAAAACCTATTTAACAAAATAATAGCTGAAAATTTCTAAAGTATTAGGAGAGATACAGACTTCCAGATACAAGAGGCTCAAATGTCTCCTAACAGATTTATCCCCTAAATAATAAAACTCACTGGCAGAGCAGAAATGAAAAAGAGAAAGAAATTATATCTTATCAGTACAAACAAAACAAAACAAAACAAAACAAAAAAAAAACCAAAACCAAATAGCAGAGACAACAATAAAAGAGAAAGAAAGGAACAAAGAATATACAAAACAACCATAACACAACAGAATGTCAGGAATAAGGCAACACTTTTCAATAACAAACTTGAATGTAAATGGATTAAATTCCTCATCTAAAAGATATAGACAGGCTGAATGGATTGATTAAAAAATAGGACCCACTATATGCTACCTATGAGAAACTTCACCTGTAAAGACACACATAGATTAATAGTGAAGGGATGGGAAAAGATACTCCATGCAAATGGAAACCAAAAATGAGCAGGAGCAGATGTGCTTATATCTGGTAAAATAGATGTTAAATTAAAAAAAAACTATAAAAAAGACAAAGAATAGCATTATATAATGATAAAGGGATGAATTCAGCAAGAGGATAAGAGTTTTAAAATTATATGCACCCAACATTGGAGTGCCGAGATATATCAAACAAATATTATTGGATCTAAAGGGAGAGACGGACCCCAATACAGTAATAGTTGGGGACTTTAGCACTCCTCTCTTAGCATTGGATAGATCATCTAGACAGAAAATCCACAAGGAAACATTGAATCTAAACTGGACTATAGACCAAATGGACCTGACAGATATTTGCAGAACATTTCATCCAACAACTGTAGAATACAAATTCTTCTCATCAGCCCATGGATCATTCTCCAGGATTGATGGTATGTGAGGCCACCAGTCAGATCTCAATAAATTTTTTAGAAATTGGAATAATATTATCTTTTCAGATGGAAGTGAAATAAAACTAGAAACCAATAACAAACAAAACTTTGGAAACTGTACAAATACATGGAAATTAAACAGCATGCTCCTGAACAACCAATGGATCAAAGAAGAAATTAAGCAGGAAATCAAAAAATTCCTTGAAAAGGCCGGCCCGTGCCTCACTCGGTAGAGTGCGGTGCTGATAACACCAAGGCCACGGGTTCGGATCCTATATTAGGGATGGCCGGTTAGCTCACTTGGGAGAGCGCGGTGCTGACAACACCAAGTCAAGGGTTAAATCAAAAAATTCCTTGAAAAGGCCGGCCCGTGCCTCACTCGGTAGAGTGCGGTGCTGATAACACCAAGGCCACGGGTTCGGATCCTATATAGGGATGGCCAGTTTGCTCACTGGCTGAGCATGGTGCTGACAACACCAAGCCAAGGGTTGAGATCCCCTTACCAGTCATCTTTTAAAAAAAAAAAAATTCCTTGAAACAAATGGAAATAAAAGCATAGCATACCAAAACCTATGGGTTACTGCAAAAGCAGTACTAAGAGGGAAGTTTATTGCAATAAGTTTTTACATCAAAAGAGTAGAAAGATTTTAAATAAAGAATGAATGTTGTAGGTGGTTTCCGTTGATTTTAAAATTTAAAAAGCATGGTAACAGGAGGTTATTTATTAGAGAGGCAAACAACTTTTCACATTTTGGTAGTTCCTGAGAAATTGTCTATATTAATATAAACACATATACAAAATTTGTTAACTTTATTGAAATATGTAATAGTTATAATAGCGAAGTAGTGTATGCTTTGTTTGTTGAGTTTCAGAAATAGTAGGCATGTAATGCAGTTACAAAATCAAATTTATTGAGATATAATTTACATACACTAAAATGTACCAATTTTAAGTGCACAACTAGATAAGTTTTCAAAGATACATACACCCGTGTGATCACCACCAGTAAGATATGGAACTTTTTGATGACTTTAGAAAGTTCTCTCATTCCCCTTCTCAATTATTCCCAACACCTCCCCTTTGGTCCTCAGGCAGCCACTGATCTACTTTCTAACATTAAAGATTAGTTTTGCCTTTCCTAGAGTTTGATATGAAAGGAATCATACAGTGTATCCTTTTGTGTCTGGCTTTTTAAAGTATAATAATTTTGAGATTTATCAATGTTGTTATGTTTATTAGGACTTTTCCTTTTTATTGTCAAATAGCATGCTATTGTAGGGCTATACCACAATTTATTTATGTATCACCTGTTTCTGGATATTTGGGTTGTTTCCAGCTTATGGCTATTATGAATGAAGCTGCTATGAATATTCACATGTAATGTTTTCATTTGTCTCGGGTGTCCAAGTGTGTGCTAACAGTATAATGTCCACCAAACTGAGAAGGTATCCTGAACCCAAGAATGAAGCAGGCAACTCCATATGGTTTACAAGGAGTTATTTATCATCATTTTTATTATTTATGAGTGGTTACTTACAGGGAGTGGATTGGGTGGAGTGTCAATCTGAGTGTTGTGTGGGTTGCTTTCTCCTCAACCCCCTGGTGTGTGTGGGGGGGTGAGTGGGTGGGTGCATGTTGAAGCTTATAAGGGACTTATATGCCAAAGAGAGAAAGGCTGCAGAAGTGGAAGATTACCAGGCACCTTGCAGCCTCTTGCTGCTTATCCTTGAAGTTGCTGGTGTTTTCCTCTTATCTTACACAAGCATAGCATTCTGTTAATTTCCCTTCCTCAGTTGCTAAGCAAGCTGCACATAGGAAAGATTTTAACTATTGAAATTGAAGCCAGAGCTTCCAAGGCCATGAGGATGGAGTGCATTTTGACTAGCATTCATACACTTGGGTATAAATATCTGCAAGTGGAATTTCTAGGTGAGGAAAGTATGTATTTAACTTTATAAGAACATGCCAAACTTGTTTTCTAAAACAGTTGTACCATTTTCACCAGTGATATTTGAGTATTCCATTGCTCCCCATCCTTACTGACCCTTGAAATGATCAGTCTTTTTAATTTTATTGATTCTAGTGGATGTATAAGTGTAATATGTTTTAAAATATTTATATCCTAAAAGTACTGTAGCTAAAATTAAGGAAAAGTTAGAATTGAATGGTGGTAAACTGTTATCCACAAAAGTTGGTAGTCCAGAACAACTTTTTATCCCAAAGTTTATATATAATTGAGATTTCAAAACTTGGCACACATGCCTTTCTTTTTAGCTCTGTTGTAACCTCCAGTTAAGAGTAATCAAATAGTTCTGTTTAATAGAACATTAGATAATTTGGAATTTCTTTTATTTTCAATATAATATAATCTAAATTTTACCTATAAAATTTACATATTTAGAAGGTGGTATATATTGTTAGGAGAAAAATTATTCTAATGATAATGAAAAAGTATTCCAGTGGTAATGATAGCCATAACTCATTAAGTACAGTAAGTACCTCCTTAACTATGGGCGATAGGTTCCAAGACCCCCCAGTGGATGCCTGAAACTGCAGATAGTACCAAACCCTGTATACACTTTGTTTTTTCCTACATACATACCTATTATAAAGTTTAATTTCTAAATTAGGCACAGTAAGGGATTAACAATATATATGTATGTGAGATATATATATATAATGATAAAATAGAACAGTATAACAATATACTGTAATGAAAGTTATGTGAGTGTGGTCTCTCAAAATATCTTACTGTACTGTACTCATCCTTTTTGTGATGATGTGAGATGGTACATATCTACATGATGAGATAAAATGAGGTGAATGACATAGGCATTGTGACGTAAATGGAAAATTCCAGAAATAAATGATTTATAAGTTTTATAAATAAGTGATTTATAAGTTTTGGCATTGGGTGCCATTCTGAATATCATGATAAATCTCTCACCCTCCCACACCATCCTGCCTTGGACAGGGGTGTGAGTTATCTCTTAGTCTAGCGTATCCATGCTATATGTGCTGTCTGCCCATTAGTCACTTAGTAGCCCTCTCTTCTTTTATCAGATCAAATGTCAAGGTGCTTGTGTTCAAGAAACTCTTATTTTGCTTAATAATATCCCCAGGCTGAAATCACAGAAAACAAAACAGCAAATAAGGGGGGGACTACTGTATTAGTTTTATGCTGGGTATTATCTAAGGGCTTTATAAATATAATCTCATTGAATTCTTACAAAGTGAGGTATGTGTTATAATTTTGATTTTACAAAGAAGACAGTTAAAGAACTGAGACATGAATTACAGATGGCTAAAAAATGCTTGAATGAATAAAGTGATAAAAGAATGAATTAGAGAAAAGGAAGGCTTATTGAATAATAAAGTGGGCTTTTAAAGAAAAAGGTTATATGTTATAGACTCTAAAATATTTTAACTTTGCTTTGATGGCATTGGATTATTGAAAAATGAAACTATTTCAAAGAATTGATTGACCCCTCAAGTTTCCACAGTAAGTTATTTAACTTTTTGATCTAGTAATTTTCATTGTCTTATAATATAAAATTTAAGTGTTTGTTATTAGTGTAGAATGAAATGCATTCAATTATATGCCATCATAAGGATTTTACAGCATTTATTTTGTTATGCTAAATAGGAAAAAAATCACTTGTAATATAGTTTTAATGCAGTATCCAATGTATGAATGATTTAATGAAATATTTGAACTGTTTTTGTTCCCAGGAAGGTTATATTCAAAAGAAAAAGGAACTGTGGGGTATCTGTATCTTTACTGCAGCAGTTGACCTGGATGAGGTGACATTCACTTTTACTGAGCTACAGAAAAACATAGAAACCAGGTAAAGTTTCTTGTGTGAATATAGGCTTCTGCCATTAAAGAAAATTGCTTCTGGACTTTCATCTTAATAGTAAAGTAAAGTAAAAACATTAAGTAAAACACAAAGGACTTGGGTCAAATGATATACTGCCATTCTCTCATGCAGCCCTTAATCAAAGCATATTTGTACTGCATTTCTTAAAAATATAGCTGTTGTGTTCAGGGAAAATTTTCATGTGTCTCTCACTATTCTTCTATAAACTTTCTTAATTGTAGCTATTGATAAAGTGAAGAAAAAAGCAAGGGTTTATAAAGTAGGCTTATTATATACTAAAATCTTTATTAAAGTGACATAAATCTATCTTAAAGATATTTAGATAAGATTTATTAAAGCTTAAGATCGTTTTAATATAGTACATACTGTAATTACATACATTTTATACTACATATTCAACTGAGTATACACTGCATTACTTGATAATTACTTAACAAATGTTTGTTGTTGAGCATATAGACCTTTGAAAGAAGTTCCAGTAATTCATGAACTTTATATTGAGAAACTTTTTGGGACTTATAGTCATTTCCTTTGGCAGCATATTTATGAAATGCAACAGTAAGTTTTACGAAATAGGTAGTTGTATATGGTTCTTCTTGAATAAGCCATCTAGAATTAAACATAACTGGTCTTTTATTTAAATGAGATCAATTAAATTGTTAAACTTTTGTAACTTTTTTTCTTATACCCCTAAATAAAATGTGGAAAGACCTTGTATATTCATAAAAATACAAAATAATGTAAATAACATAAGTAATTCACAGAATATATGCCTATAACACCACAGGCACTAACTATTCCTTTTCTCTTTCCTCCCTCCCTGCCTTCCTCTCATTAAGTTACACCTAGAAAAAGAAGGCTTTCTTATAACAGTTCAGTTTTCATGGTACTCCAAGGACAGGTATTGTCATATACCTCATAAAAACGAACTGAGAATGGTTCTTTAAATGCTCTTTTAAGGTTGAATTCTTTTTCACATCTGCTCCATTCTCTTTTCTCTTGTAATCAACATCCTGGTCTCCTACTCTGAATCTTTTCTTCTCCTTTATCTGCTTTTCCACATAGCTTGTCATGGCTGCCCCAATCCCTTCTGTATCATGAGAATTTTTAACCTTCTTTTGGGTTTTGTGCCCCTGCTGATTAGCTGAAGCTCTTATTTTCCCATTTCTTGAGGTAAGTGTCTGATTGATCCAGCCCTTTTTTTTGAATGAAGTCTATAACTATCATTGCTGGATGAGTCTGGTGACTGCCCTTTTCTTCACTTAGCTGCTTTGGTACAATCCCTTACACAAACTTGATTAGAAATGAGTATATGAGATGTAGTTGATGATTGCTATCTTTAGTGCCCTATTGAAAAAAATGTATACATTGATGTTTCAAATAGGTTTTTATAGAAAAACATAAAGAATGACTTAAAGTCATTATTTAAACAACTTAAAAATTTTAATCAGCTTTCCTTTTCCCTTTCCCAACAACTCAGTCCAAAAACTATTGGGGGGCAAAGAAATTAAGTTTGTACGTCTGTGGCAGGGGAGTGCCATGGGGCCCATGGAAGGATGTGAGAGCCAAAGTGGGGTGAGGAGGACATCCACATGGGGGTTGTTCTTGTGTGTGGGCAACCTGACATGGGTTGCTTGGTGTGCAGTGTCAGAGCAAGCAGGGTGTGTGGGTAGCCAATGTAGGGAATGATAGCACAGGTGAGGTAGGAGGGCAGCTTGGTGTGGGGAGTCCGATCCTGGTATGGAGGGTCAGGGTGACAGTGATGTCCATGTGGAGGGGTTCAGGCAGCCTAGAATAGGGAGTCAGTATGAGCAGAGAAGAAGAATGTCCACATGGGGGAGTGGTGGCTTTTGAGATGGAAAATAGTCACAGTGGGATAGGTTAAATGAGTAAATAAATTCAGGATGAATGGGTTTTAGGTTTCTCATTGTCAAAGAAGAGTTACAGATATGGAACGGGAAACACTACAATGAACCATGTGGTTTTGTGTTGGAATTGAGTAAATGGATGTGAATTTGTGGTTCATAAAACGTACAGATAGATAGGAGTAAACATACATGTGTGTGTCCTTTCATGACCCTTCTTTTTTTCTGTACTCTCAGTGAGAAATAGATATCAGCACAGGTATACAAATATAGAGGTGTAGGTTGAAGGCTAGTTGGTTTTTCCCTTTTCAAATTCTAGTAAAATGCAAAAAGTAATCCCTTCCAAAGATGTAATAGTGATTTAGTGTAGAGCTAGTAATCTTTTGAATTGAAATGTCTGTGCTTTGAAAATGAAATAAAACAAATTTTTTAAGTTAACTGATTTACTTTTTTTCTATTCTTTCCTTTGCAGTGTCTATAAATTCTTTGACTTACTAAAGGAAATTGATACCAGTACCAAAGTTGATAATGCTATGTCAAGACTGTTGAAGAAGTACAATGTATTGTGTGCACTCTATAGCAAATTAGAAAGGTAAAAAAAATTTTATCAGGAATACACTCCGATTTTTCATGTCAATTTTTATAGTTAGATTCCATCTGGGAAGTATGACATATTTAGTAAAGTTGTTAACTGTTACCCCCCAGACATTCCTTTTGCTATTAGGTTCTTATTAATTCTTAGCTTTCTTATTTATCCAGTCGTTTACCTTCTGAATGCTTCCTCCAAAATTAACTGTTTTACTATCCTTTCATGTCTCTCATTTGTTTTCACAAACTTTAAGCTTAGGTCCCACTCAGCCTTCTCTGCCAGAAGACTTCTAGTTCTGAATGGAGTAGTGACCTAAACATAAACTTCTTCCTAATGGTGTTATTACATTTAGAAAGAGAAGACATATTGGCAATGGAAGGTGTATATGACCTGTACTACCAAGTAATGATTTGTACTCCTACTGATGATTAGAAGACTTTTCACCATTACTGTTCAACTGGGAGAATAATAAATACGCTTGGGTTAAGTGTTTGATACAATTTTTATCCAAACTGTAGTCCCCTACCCCCAGCATTACAGCATTTAACGTGGCATGTGTCCATTATTATGTTCGTTTCAGAGTTTATTTCATTTGGGTAGGAGAATATAAGAGTTAACATTGTAGCTAAATAAGCAATTGTATAATAGCATGGTAAAGCATGGTAAAGCGAGAAGGGAAAAAAGGTATTCTGGAGATATTCTGGAGAGAAGGAGGATGGAGATAAAGCTGGAAAGAAGCGTCTTCTCAGAAGGATGCCTCTGTTTTTTCCTTCTTTCTTGGTGTATCACTAAAACTTCAGAGGTGTGATTAGAGGATGAAAAAGTGGAGAAAGATTCAAAGGTTGGCTAGGGCTTTTGAAGAAATATCTTTTCTTGCTCTTGTTTTTTAACTGTAATATAGTAGCATTGGGCATTATTATTATTTCTGTCCTTTCTTGAAGAGAGTAGAAGCTTTTTGCACAGGAAAACAGGAAATTTTTTATTATTAAAGAAAATACCTAAGTAATTTGCATAAGAAATGTGAACTAATGATAGAATACTTGGAAAAAACAGAATGGCAAAATTTCAACACTGGAGATAATCACCTGTCATATTTTAGACGAGATCGGGCGCATTCAGGGTGGTATGGCCATAGACAACCTGTTGTATTTTAGAATATTTCCTTCCTTTGGGTATTATTTTACACTGAGTAGATTATATTGTATATATATTTTTTTGCCTTTTGTAATTTACTTAATAGGGACTCTCTAAATTCTTTTCTGTCCTTTAATCTTGTTTATAACCTTTTAATTTATATCTGGGATCTTATCCTAATAACATGATCCTAAACACAAAAAGGCTTTAGAGATTTTTTTTTTTTTTTTTTTTTTTTTTTTTTTTTTTTTTCCGT